TCCCTGGTTTTCCCTAAGCTCAGCTCTTTCCTTGCAAGCATTTCATGACCCAATTAGGTAACTTCATCAGTGCTGGTGAATGTGAGGTTTGCTTTGCTCCCTGCTTATTCAGGAGAAGCTACGGTGTATAAACAGAGAGCAAACATCACTCCCTTCTGGTATTGAATCAGTTCCCCAGTTGGATCATGAAACATCTGCAGGAAAAGAACCAAGCTCAGATAACACCAAGGGGCTTCACAGTCCTCCTCATCCTCCCATAAACCTCCTCCCACCACCCTCTTCCTTCTTCCATCCTTTCTCATTCTCCCCTTCTTCACACTGTGAAGCCACTCCCTTGTAGCACTGATAACGTTACCTAGTTGAGAGCCAAGCTCAGAGCACCAAGGGCTTCACAGTCTTCCTGCTCCTGCTCCTCCTTCTCCTCTCTGCCTACACTAATCCGTTCCAGCACTGATGACATTACCTAGTTGGGTCATGAAACATCTGCAAGAAAACAACCAAGCTCAGAGAGAACCAAGGACCCCTCATGTCAACCTACAAATGTTTTCTTCTCTTGGAGCTGCTAAACCAGCCGCCAGAGGAAGGATGTTCAGAAGTTCCAAAGGCCAAAATCTAACATTGTGGTTTTTTCTCCCCACAAAGCTAAAGAGAAGAAAAGGCCCCAAAATAAGAAGGGAAATAATGAGAAATGGGAAAAATAATTTTTGTTTTAATTTCGGGGCCGGCCATATTTTATGGCATCGAAAACATATCGAAAATGGCTAAGATATGTTTTAGTTCTTGTTGACCTTCCTTTCAGTCCTCCTCATGACCTGGAAATGGTCAAAAAAGTCAATATAACAGTGGAGATGGCATGATCCAAAGGCGGGAGCTTGGACACCCATCCCACATGATGTCTAGAATTTAAAGCAGAATTATTCCTTCTGGGAATTATAAGTGAGAAATATAGCAAAGGGGTAACCTACTTATACATATTATAAAGGTAGCAAGAATTGTCTTTGCCCAAAATTGGAAAAACAGGGAAATTCCACTAGAAGAGGAAGTGGTTAGGAAAAGTTTGACTTGAAAACTCAAATTAGAATTATGTATGTAATCATAACAGAGTTATGAAAGTGGATAAGATAGAACTGAAAGCAAAATGGAAAGAGGATGTTTTTATATTTGTAAATACAAAATGTAAATAAGCAAGGTGTTTATGATATCTAATGTATTTTTTAGTATCTATGGCAAAGACAAAGCCAGGACAGTTAAACTGTGCCCAAAGTTTTATTGTGTGTTTAATAAAAAGTCTTTTTTTTTAAAAAAAACCTGATGCATCTCTGCATGGTCTCTTTTTCTTCTTTCCAATAGGCCTTTGGTGAGCATATTACCCCCACACACCCAGGTCACAGACCTGATACTGAAAGCCCTGGAGGCTCTCCCAAAAAAGAAGTTTGTCAGGCTACTGGACACCTGCTCAACTCTTTTTTGGAAGAATGCGGGATGGACCTGGAGGAAGTAAGAAAATGCAGGGTTTGGAGCAAAAGGGATATAGGAGATTTCCTATAAAACTTCTTGAGCCTATCCAAACTCACCCTCTTCCATTGAGATGGAAGCAAATTCTCCAAAGTTTGCTTGTCAGAGACAAACAAACAAACAGTGACATAGGATGGAGTACTTTGTTGTTGTTGTTTTTTGAAGCTGTTCTTCTTCCCTCCCTCCTTTACACCTGAGTGCATTTTTAAATGCTTATGAGTCAAGGTGCTGCACTGATATTTTGTTTGTTTGTTTGCAACCCACGTTGCTGGCCTTTTGGGATGGCAGTCCTTGCATCCTCCGAGCCTGCCACCACTCATAATAAGCCTGCAAATATCATGGTCCTCCAAATCTCCCCCAGAAGGTA